ATGGCCGAGAAACAAGCTGCCAAGGAAGATCTTTCCCTCGGCTTAATATGTATATCAATACGACGAGATGTTGTCGAGCAGTACAAACATTACCAATGCGATGGCCGAAGAATTGATGGTAAACCAAGCTGTCGAGAATCAAAATTTTCTCGATCTTGTTTTCTTTAGCCAATTCCTCGACCGAAGACCTTTTCATTAGCACGTGGTTCCACTCGGTGGCATTTGTGAGGATAAAAGTTCGGCCACTACATCAGGCTACTTATATATATATATATATATAGGAAATCTTTAAGGAAAGGGATCCCTATTTTTTTATAAAAATGGGGATTAGTTGTGGGGTCCACATTACATCGAACTTTAACGATCCGAACCGTCTGTTTTTCAAGTTGCACCTCATAGATCATCCTTACAAAATATTAGCCAAATCGGAAATGTTTAAGACATCTAATTGGGTTCAAAGAAATGAACGAATACTTTGTTATATAAGAAACAATGAAATTTTATCTTGATAATTAAATATGCAAATGGTTTCGGATTAAATTGAATTTTTGCAAGAATGATCTATGAATTGAGACTTACAAAATAGACGGTTCGGATCGTTGAAGTTCCATGTGAAGTGAGCCCCATACCTAATCCCCATTTTTTGAAAAAAAAATGGGGATCCCTTTGCATAAAGGGCCTGTATATATATACGCGGCATCCTTTTCTTCTCGGCAGTGAAAGCTGCAGTAATTTTCTCTTCTTTTCTGCTAGTCTGGTGCTCTCGGCTCTGCTCTCTCTGCTCTCTGTTGCAGCCTTTCTGCTATCCCACAAATGGTGCTCACTTTTTCACACCTTCGGCTGCTATCATTCGACGATAAATATATGTGTATATATATGTATATTATATATATATATATAAGCATAATCATGATGTCTACACGTCATGATGATTTTCTTTAGCCGAAAGGTGATGTTGAGTTTGCCATCCAGGCCATTAATTCAACATTAATTTGCTTTGAGATAACAAAGCATTTGATGGCAGGATTTGATCAGTGGCATTCAGTCAAGGAATGGTGACCGAGGGTTGTTGGTCGAGCTCGACGAAAATTTTCTCGGTCTTATATTTGCCCACTAATAAGTAGGTCGACTAGTCGAAGAAAAGTGGATTAAAAATTTTTATGATCATGATTCCACTTTCCCTGACATGATGTGGTGAAGCAGAAAGATTTGATGTGACTCAAATATGGTGATATTATTCATTTCAAGCTTCTCGACCTCGGCTCAATGTATATATCTATATAGCAGGCCGAGCTGCTAAGGAAAATTCTGCTCGACCTCGGTTCAGTTTTTCTCGGCAAGATACTAAGAATCAAGTGCACGGTACTAGATTTCTCTCGGTCTGATAGGTAGACGGTCGACATACTCCTGATTGGCTGGAGAGACTTAATTTCCTTTACCATTCGGCTTACGAGCCGAAGTTTAAGGAAATTGGGGGGCAATGTTTGGACATAAATTTACATCATCGGCCCGTGCAATCAAGTCGCAGAAATTTAAGGGCCACAGATCAAATTTTATTCAACGAGTTAGAGTTGCAGTCAAACTCTATCTAACCGTGCCAAGCAAGTACATCAGTCACTATAAATACAGAGTCGCGAACAACAGGAAGGGGACCTCCAATTCAACACACAAAACTGCCATGCGCAAACCCTCTCAACAACTTTGAGATTTTTTATTTTCTTTTTCGCCAACACATCTTCAGTTTGGATAAACAGCACTGTGAAGGCAACTGGCGAACATCTTCAATTTGGATAAACAACACTGTTGTCGTAGAATCAGCCGACCGCGGAGCACCTTCAGTTTGGATAAACAGCATTTCGTCGAGGCCGACTGGTTATCTATCCAAGTCTCGGTCGAGAAGGATTTTCGAATCCTTATTGGTCGATGTCATCTCATTAGCCTTTTTGGCGAAGTCGGTGTTACAAATTATTACATTCGGCACATTGAAAACCGAATTTGATATTGAACTTCGCAAAACTAGCAGCCTTTTCTTCAGGCTCTAGAACCCGAAGGCCGAGACGTGTTCCTTCCTCGACCGCAGTCGCAAGATCAAGAAGTCAGCATCACACTCAAAGCAATATCAACAAAGTTTACTCCTCGGCCGAGCTCGGCCGACGAGTTGGCACGCCCCGCACACAACCGAATGACGTAGTTAGCTTATAGATTACTCGGCATGCGCACCACGTAGGCTTGGTAGTTTTTAGGGTCATATCGTCATCCATCGGATATTCTATAAGAACATGGATTATAGGAAAAATAGTAATAAACTAGCCTTAGTAAGCATGTTATCTCAAAGCGTTTCATAAAACGTAATCATTAAATCATGTCTTTCATGTATGCATTTCTACTATTAAAACATGCATTTTTAGAAGAGGGACACTCACAGTACTTAAACGCCGAAGAGCCACGCAAACTAGTAACCATGAAGACGTCACAATTATTGCCCCTAAGCACATAAATGGTACATTTAGTCAAACTCTACTCAAACGATTGAATTTGGGAAAACGAACTTCAAAAACAGATCCAGGACGTCGATTTAGCATAGGAGGGGTTTCAGATGTAATCCCGAAAAGTCAACCCTAAAGTCAACGCTGACCGTTGACCGATCAAAGTCAAAGTCAACAGGTCAATCGGTTTGGTCAAACGGTTTAGGGTTAGGGTTTAGGTTTAGGGCTTTTAGGGTCTAGGGTTGGACTTAGGGGTTTAGGGTTTATGGGAAATAGGGAAAAGGGTTTAGAATTTGGGTTTTAGGGTTTAGATAAATAGGTGGGTTAGGCTTAGGGGTTTTAGGATTGGGTTAAGAGATCTCTGGGCTCGGGCCCGGACCCACACAGCCCGAAAGCCTAATTCGAAAGGGTTTAGGGTTTTAGATAAGGCCCAAAGGCCTTGGTTTAATAAATAAAATAAAAACAATTTAAACTAAAGGGTTTGGGTTATAAAGGGTTTTTGGATTAGGTTGAATGGCCCAAATGCCTTTAATAAATAAATTAAAACAAAACAAAACAAATAATAAAAAGGGGCTTGGGCTTTAGTGGCAACGGGCCAAAGGCCCACGTTCTACACGGCCCCAAGGGCCTGGGTAAAATGGTTGGGTAACCCGGCCCAATGGCCAGGGTTGAGGGTGGTTTTCAGGCCACCCTTTGGCTGGTTTGGTGGTTGATTTTCAACGGCTCATAACTTCTTCGTTACTCGTCCAAATCAAGTGATCCAAACATGAAAGTTGTATTACTCGACGATATGAAGAGATTGATACCCTGCACGCCGGCCAACTCACAGCGGTTCTGCTGGAAAACACCTCGAAAGGGGCGGTGCTCGTCGGGAAAACTGGGATTTGGCCGAAGGTTTGGGGAATTTTCAAAGCTTCGTAACTTCTTCGTTACTTAACCAAATTGAGTGATTCAAAAGCCAAAATGTAGCTAGAAATGTGGAGAAGAGAATCATACCAAGTGGGGTCCAAGTGGTGTCCGGAGTTGGCCGAAAAATGGCCTGAAAGATGGCCAAACGACCACGGTTTATCGTCGGAAAAACTGCTAAGGTCCTCCCGAGGTGTTTCTACGTCCTACAGCTATCAAAGCTACTCAATTTCATCCCATAATTCCATGTAAACACTAACCAAGGGATTCTAGGGCTTACCTACGTCGAAGGGAGTAAGAACTCGCCGAAGTTCTCCATTTCCAGTTTTCCTCCGATTTGAACATGGGTCCAAGGATTGTTCGACGAGTTTAGGCTCGGGGAGGAAGACAAGACGATGTGAGGATGATGATTGTTGTGTGTGTGTTTCCAGAGAAGAGAGGAAGAGCTGAAGAGAGAGCTAGAAAGAGAGAGACTTTTCAGAAAAAAAAAATTAAAAGAAAGGGGAGAGGGAGACTCACGGGTCCAAAGGGAAAAGAGAAGAAATGAGGCCGGGTAGGGGAGACCAAAAAGAAAAGAGGGCCCCACGGACACACACATTAAGATTAAAAAGCAATTTTAAAAGTAAGATAATCTTAAACTTAGTGAAAATACAATTTAAATTAAAGGTAGGTGTAACAGTTTATGGGTCAAATTGACAGTTTACTCGAAAAACCTATATGATCAAAACATAGACCATGCCTAACATGAGTACAATGTGGCTGCATCTTCAAAGAAGTTGCACCCAATTCTAAACACTTTTGAACACCCTAAGGGGTGGTTTAGGAGTGAGGTGCTTAAAAAAAAAACACACATGAAAAAAAACTGTGAGGGTTTTAGGTGTTTGGTAAACTAAAAAAAAAAAAGCTTATTTTGGAAGCTGATGTGAGAATAAGCTGAAATCAAAGGAAAAAGCTGAAGCAGCTATTTGCAGCTTTGGAAAACTGGTTTTTTTTCAAAACACACGGAGCTACAGTGCTCCTTTAATGAAAAGACCTATTATGTTTTTTTTTTCAAAAAGCACTTTTAAAAAAATATTTATCAAACACTCTGCTGATTTATTTCACAGCTGCTTATTCTCATAGCACAGCCGCTTATTCTCACAACAGCTTTTTTTTAAAGCACAACAATACCAAACCAGCTCTAAATCTTGTCATTGTACAGTTGTACTCCTAAATTAACCTTCATATCTTAAAGAGTGCAACTATGAACTAAATAGTCGATATGCTCTTTGTTTCCGGAGCTTATAGCATAAATCGAAAGTGGTCAGCGGGCGAACTCTGCAGCAATGACAAACTAACTAAACTTCGATCAATTGATAATAACAATTACTGCAGCTCAAGCTCCTCGAAAAATAATTCCTCAGCGACAAACTTAACTCGTTTTATCATCTAAAAACTTTACAAATACTTAACACAGCCTCTCAAATAACCAAAGAGAATCCAAGTTAGGCAACAACATTTTGATAAGAGAAAAGGTAACAACTTTCTATCAGTCAATGAGTAACATGCCCTGTCATGGCGGTCTAACGTCTAGCGCTTTAAAAAAAGTACACTTTACTCTTTAAAAAAAGTACGCGTAAACGGATGTTCCAGGAAATACTCTGCGAAGCTTCACATCTTCATCCTCACAACACCTCCCCTACTCTATAAAATTCAAGGTCTTTATCAACCAATTCACAATTCAACAATTTCCCAAATCTTCCAAATTCCAGTCAAACAATCTTCTTCGTCCAACTTCCAATTTCAACAACTCTCAAGATCCCCCACAAGCACGTCAGCTACGGCCTCCGATCGTCGAGCGGAAACCCCAGGGGACCATCAATTTCGGTGACAAGTTTTCGGTTCCGGTTCCAGAGCCCCAGAAGAAAGTCCACGAGCCCGTGATGGCAAACCGGACCGGACATCCCGGTGGTGGGTACCCGCCACCGCAGCAAGTTGTGCAGCCGCAGAAGCCTAAGAGGGGTGGAGGAGGGCGGCAGCAAGTTGTGCAGAGGCAGCAAGTTGTGCAGCGGCAGCAAGTTGTGCAGCGGCAGCAAGTTGTGCAGCGGCAGCAAGTTGTGCAGGCAGCAAGTTGTTGCAGCGGCAGCAAGTTGCGCAGCGGCAGCAAGTTGTGCAGCGGCAGCAAGTTGTGCAAGGCAGCAAAGTTGTGCAGAGGCAGCAAGTTGTGCAGCGGCAGCAAGTTGTGCAGCGGCAGCAAGTTGTGCAGAGGCAGCAAGTTGTGCAGAGGCAGCAAGTTGTGCAGCGGCAGCAAGTTGTGCAGAGGCAGCAAGTTGTGCAGAGGCAGCAAGTTGTGCAGCGGCAGCAAGTTGTGCAGCGGCAGCAAGTTGTGCAGCGGCAGCAAGTTGTGCCGCGGCAGCAAGTTGTGCAAGTTTTGCAGCTGCAGCAAGTTGTGCAAGTTGTGCAGGCGCAGAAGCCTAAGAGGGGCGGATGAGGGAACATGGCGCTGGGTGTGGGAGCTGGGTTGCTGGGTGGATTCTTGATCGGGGAGATGAGTGGGAATGTGGATCCGCCGCAGCAAGTTGTGCAGAATCTCATGGCGCAGGGTGTAGATGCTGGGTTCCTGATCGGGAATATGTTTGGATCGGGGTGATGACTTTGTTGTTTGAGTTTTTTCAATAATCATCAGTGGATTTTGTGCCTTTCTTTTCTGTTGAGTAATCATCAGTGGATGTTGTGCCTATTCATTTTTCCACCAATTTTTTAGTTGTGCTGCCGAATGATTTTCACATTTAAGCCATTTTAGTTTGTATGTACGGCACAATGAAAATCTCAACATTACCGTCGAGGTCGGTCATCTTAGGGGCGTTTTTGGCATAATTTGGGCCTCCGAGCTCCACAATCCGCCGCTTCCAATGTACCTTCTCTCGAATCAGCTTGTTGATCTCGTCGTTGAGGTCGCGGGTCCGGTGATCCCCGAGGGCTTCGTTCTGGATCTCGGCGACTTTCCGGCCGATCTCCCCCATGATTTGCTGCCGCCATCTGGAGGCCTCGGCGAGGTCGCGGCACTCGGAGGCGAGGTAAGGGCGTCGCTCTTTTGGCTTCTTCTTCTCTTCGGCCTTGAGGGCAATGAACCGATTGAGCATCGACTGCGCTTTCTCTTCGTTACGAGCCATTGCGATTGATTTGCAGTAGAGATTGATTCAGGCGAGAAAAGTCGATGAAATTTGATTAAACCCTAATTTGATATACAGAGCGTGAGGTTTTGGAGAAAATTGGGGATTTTTTTTGTTCAACCGCAAGAGCGAAATAAATATAATCTTTTTAAATCGAAAAATCTCAAATTTATAAAATAAATATTTATATTATAAGGTCGAAATACCCAAATTCCCAACACTTCCACCGCCCTTCTGATTTACTCACCACTCCCCACATGGCGCAGCCGCAGTCAGAGCAGCCTCCCAGTTCGGCCTCCGATTCCGAACCCGACGACTCCCGCTCTCCCTCCACCCACACGATCCCGAACCAAAACCCCAAGCTCCTCCACCTGTCCTTCAACCAGGACCATAGCTGCTTCTCCGTCGCCACGGACTCCGGCTTCCGCGTCTACAACTGCGACCCCGTCCGCGAGCTCTTCCGCCGTGATTCCGATCAGCGGGGCGTCGGAATGGTCCAAATGCTCTTCCGCTACCAAATTCTCGCCCTGGTCGGAGGCGGACCCGACCCTCTCTACCCGCCCAACAAAGTCATGATGTGGGACGACAACGAGTCCCGGTGCATCGGCGAGCTCTCTTTCCGGTCGGAGGTCAGAGGCGTCAGGCTCCGCCGCGACCGAATCGTCGTCGTTTTGGAGCACAAAATCTTCCTCTACAATATCTCCGACTTAACGCTCGAGCATCAGATCGTGACCATCTCCAACCCTAAAGGACTGTGTGAGGTCTCGCAGGGTTCGGGTCACCCCTTGCTGGTGTGCCCGGGGCTCCAAAAGGGTCAAGTTCGGGTCGACCATTACGGGTCAAAGCGGACCAAGTTTATCGCCGCCCACGATTCGAGGCTCGCTTGCTTGGGGCTCACGCAGGACGGCCGGCTCCTTGCTACGGCCAGCAGTAAAGGGACCTTGGTTCGGATTTTCAATGCTTTGGATGGTTCATTACTACAAGAGGTATTTAAATTTCAAATCTTTTACTCTGAATTTTCAAATTAATGTGTTTTTGGTGTTAGTCAAATCCGAATCGAATTCTCAGTGTCTGTTCTTCTGGGTTTGATTTCATGTGAATATGAGTGTGCTTTTGTCGAAGTTGACATTCATGTTTGATTAAGGTTTAGGATTGATTAAGGTTTTATGTTTCAATTGACTGGTTTGCGAACTTAGACATCGTTATCCAAGTTTGAGGGAAACCCGAAACCAAGCATGAGTTTGTCATAAACGTAAGGTGTTAACTCTGGCACTGGATGCTGCTGAGATGTGTGCTATACTTGTTGTCTGTTAGAATGTTTCGCTTCAGGAATCGTGTTCTTTACTACTCTGCGGAAAATATATATGAACGCTTCTGATCACCGGAAAGTATTTATATCTGACAACTTACTTGGTATCCTGTGCAGGTAAGGCGAGGAGCAGAGAGAGCAGAGATTTACAGTCTTGCTTTCTCTTCTGGTGCACAATGGCTAGCTGTGTCAAGTGACAAGGGCACCGTTCATGTTTTCAGCGTTAAGGTTGATTCGGGATCCTTGGGGTGTGAGAGATCACACAGACGCAGTGCATCAGAATCCAATCTTCCTAGTCCATCAGGCATTTCATCCCTCTCTTTCATGAAAGGTAACATACTTTGCATAGCTTATACTTGAGGGCTCTTCGGCGACAAAAATGAAAATTTGATTTTTTTTTTTGCTTATCTTGTACTTCAACTAGTAGTTTCTCGTTCTAATTATTGCGAAATACTAAAAATTATCGGTTGGGGGGTTGAATATAGTGAAAATATTGCATCATGTAGCCTATTCTTGCTTCACGGTAACAGCTAGTTCGCCTTTTTAACTTATGCTTAACTTGCAGACCCTGTTTCTCGGAATATCCTATGCCTGCTGTGTTTTGAATTAACGTCAATTTTGAAATGAATGACAGTTGCGGATTCTGATCTTGGTCTTTCGGTTTCATTCTAGGTTTATCGTTCTCAGGCGTGCTGCCAAAGTATTTCAGCTCAGAATGGTCAGTGGCTAAATATCACTTGCAGGAAGGTTTGCGGTACATTGTTGCCTTTGGCCACCAGAAGAACACAGTAGTGATTCTCGGCATGGACGGAAGGTAAGGGAATTCGTTATTGTTTGTTGTTTTTTGTTTATATGTCTATTGATTCCGTGGAACTAGCTTCAACTAGGACGTTCTTGATTTTAGTTCGGAATCAACTTCATTCTTTTCTTAACCGCGTGTGAATATTACTCGTCTAATCCAATTATCGAATTGCCATTGCAGCTTCTACCGATGCCAGTTTGACCCCGAAAATGGAGGAGAGATGACTCAGATTGAATACTATAATTTTCTAAAGCCAGAAGAAACTTCCTGAACTAGTGCAAATACAGAGTTTAAATTATTTAGGGGTTGAGATTAGTACGTTATAAATATCTGAGGAGATGAGGAATGTGCTAGAGATTGTTCAACATCGGGGTTGCATGTATATAACAGTTGGTTAGTTTTTCTGGTAAATTTTCATCTCCACAGTCGCAAAAACAAGCGCAGTGACGTTTTAAGATTCATACATCAGACCCACATGGTGAGTTAAGGCTTTGATGTTGTTGCACGTCAATTTACAAAATGGTTCACATCAATATCAAGAGTGTTTTCTTTCAACCTTACACGAACGCGTGCTTACTAGCTGGCGAATACATATGCTCTTCTTCCTTTAAGTCACAGGATTACAGGAACCAAACTAACAACAAACATGTTGAAAACAAAAGGTTTTCGCTTACATATCTGAATTGGACTCCTCCGGGATCACTGTTAAGGTCACTATATCGTCTCTCGCTCGTATCACGACTACCCCGATGGGCACCCCGACTCGGTCCCCCATTATTTCAATGATCTGTAACAATTTCACTAGTCATATGAACCATCATATTGCATAATCATGTAACCAAGTCATATGCTAAAGTTTGGAGTGAATACTATTGATGTCTGCTCGGATAAATTTCAACAAAAACCAGCCATATGCCTAATTTGGTGATTTCAAAATGTAATGATATTATGATAAGGGTTCTGAGTACCTCCTTGATGCTTCCAACAGCGTTTCCATCAAATTCAATAACGACGTCGCCAGGACGGAACCCGGCTCGTTCAGCAGGAGACCCAGGAGTTACCTATAATACGACGAACAATGGGAAAATTATTAGATGATTGATCCAGCTATCTTAACAGTCAAACGTAATTACAAAATACTTGTGCGTGAACGTACGAAGAAAAAGCATCGTTTTCATATTTGTACATCACACACCCATTTAGAAAATACGGATACATAAAAAGGAACTCTTGGCAGATTGGGTACGAAAGTACGAAGTCATTTAAATGTCTTTGTGATTCAGAAACTGCCAAAGGATGGTATGGATATATTCCCCACCGCTGTGGAAGTAAGAAAATATGTACATACCATTGGCACAAGAATGCCTTTCTTCACGTTTGGAAATGTAGGATCTCTTTCTTTAAGCTGGGTGATGATCACCTCAGTGAGATCAACCATCTTTAGTCCAACCCAAGGCCGAACAACCCTCCTGCCAAACATGACTGGTTAGCTTCACAGATGCTTTCATAAAGGAAACCGATTTGTCATACAGTTATACTTTTAGAGTCCTAGAATATGAGTTTCATGCTGAAACAAGCGAACCCGCTTTTCTTGAAGTGCTCCATGATTTTGGTGACTGATTCAATTGGGAAGGCAAAACTCAATCCATCAGCAGCATAGACTTTCATAATATTAACACCAATCACTTCTCCGTCAATATTGACCAAAGGCCCCCCAGAATTTCCCTGCACCAGGCACGTGAGATACCAGAAAAAAAGGAGCCAAATCTTAGACACATTCCATGGTCATTATTAAGGGACACACAAAATGAAGAGAGAGATACCGGGTTGATTGCACAATCTGTCTGTAAATACTCTCTCCGCACTCCACCAAGACCCAAATCAGTGCTCTTTCGGTCAACACAACTAGATTTCACAGAGAAAACAAAATGAGGAAACGACAAGAACAAGGATGCTTACCATTGTCAATTTTAGAGACAATGCTAGCTTTTCTTAACATCTATCATCTACATAACATGGAAGGGTTGAAATTGTTTCGTTGCTAGGAGTTTCATCTCATAACTGGTAAAAGAAAAGAACAACTCCTTATTACTCAAAATTATTATTTTTACCTTACAATACCAGCTGTGACGGTATTCTAAAGTGAAAGTGGACAGCCAACAGCTATCACCCAATCCCCAGGTTGAAGTTTACGCGAACTGCCTAGCTTTGCCGTTGGCAGTGGGGTTTTAGAATTTATCTTTACTATAGCCACATCGGATTGTAAATCTGCATTGACCACGGTACCCTCAAATGTTCTACCATCTTGCAAGATGATATGGACCTGTACCAAGTTACACCAAACATCAAACCTACTGCATTTCGTAACTCAGTCATACAACTCTTACCCCTTCCAATATGTAACAATGTGATATCTTAAACGACGAGAACTGGGATGTAGGTTCTAACCTTCCCTTTGGATGAAGCTCTCAGGCCATAAAAATCAACTACAGTGTGAGCACATGTTAAAATTGTACCGTCCTCGTTAATAATAGTCCCAGAGCCTATGCTCTTTCCCGGAGTGATCCCATATGCACCTACAAGACTCAGTTGACAAACTAGCATTATTGTCGATTTCTCGATAAAATACAACTACCTCAAATAAAAATGCAAAACCAGAAAAACAGAAAACCCAAAATCCGTTCTCACCCTCTGGAACAGAGATGTTGACAACAGCAGGGCCGACCTTTGCAGCAGCCCTTGCGAAAGAATCTCTGCCCAAACATCCACAACATGGCTTAGGGGCCTCTTCGGATGGGGAAACACCAGAAATATCCTTCCTTATATCTGATGATGGAACTGAACTAGTTCCCACAGAAAACAGTGGACCCAATAGCCCCGTTTGCCATGGAAGCTGCAAGGATTCGCGCAATGGCGCAGTGATTGACACTGATGCCGTATAATCTAAAACCCAATTCATGAGCAATAATATGATTATTGTAGCTACAAACAAATGGACTAAAACCACATTTAATCAAATTAAAACCCCACTAATTTTTAGTTAAAATTTATAAATGTTAAGGCCAAAAATATCTCATATGAATTACGAATCTCGATCTCAATTAAAAGTTTGATCAATCAAAACCCAACATTTGACATCTCCTCAATTACCCACCAAGCAAAAAATGCTTGACAACAAGAAAAGACCAAAATTCAATTTGGAACAATAAAAAACAAAGAACTTGGAGCTCACCGGAGTTTCTGCTGCCGTCGGATAACAAAAAAGCCGACCCTGCAGCGGCGGCAATGGCGGCAATCCGGTACGGAGTTGAAAATTTTCTCTGCCGGATTCAGACAGGAAATTCATAAGTTTCTAGCGAAGTAACAAAATTGAAAAAAAAATTTAATTTAAATTAAACTGCGAGAATACCAGAAAATGGTTCATGAGTAAACAGAAAAAGAATGCTTCTTTATTGCGCCTGGAAATTTAGGAACGCAAAGCACCCCAAAAACCCGCCCTTTTACTTTTGGCGACGGTGCCTTAAACCTCAGAGACCAAAGTACTAGTAGCTTAATGGGCTCTTCGACCCACCGTGAAGTTTTAATGGGCTTTGGCCCATATCCCAATAGGTTACTAAGCTTCAAGCCCAACAAGGCACGAGGTACCCAAAAATTGCCATCAGAGGGTTAGGCCTTCCGGATGGTAATACAAGGGTTTTATGGTAAATAGCAAATTGGTACACAGTTAATAGAAAATAAATCAGGATTAACAACTCTTTTATCCTTAATCACATAGTAAGACGGAGTTTTAATCCACAAAACCAAAAGCTTTTCCATTGAAATTTTCAGATATACCCCTACTGCATTTTTGCACTACATACAATACATCCGGTTACGATCGCCTTAGTAAAAAGACCAAAATACCACTGAGCCTTACAGATCCCTACTGAGATTGATTAGTCCTAAAAAACGACATGCGTTTTAAGCCTTCTTTGGGGACTTTGCTGCCTTGGGAGACTTGGGCGCCTTCTCGCCTTCTTGGGAGCCAGAGGTCTTCTTCGGAAGCAAGACTGGATTGATGTTGGGGAGCACGCCGCCGCTTGCGATGGTCACGCCGGCGAGGAGCTTCCCCAGCTCCTCGTCGTTTCTCACCGCCAAAAGCAAGTGCCTCGGGTTGATCCGAGTCTTCTTGTTGTCACGCGCCGCGTTTCCCGCCAATTCCAGCACCTGATTTCAATCCGCCACCACGAATAAATTAGCAAAAGTTAAAAATATATATAAGCGGAGAATATTTAGATCTGAGAAACGTGGATCGGGAAATCACCTCGGCGGCGAGGTATTCGAGGACGGCGGCGAGGTAAATGGGAGCGCCGGTACCTGTACGCTGGGCGTAGCGTCCCTTTTTGAGGAAACGAGCGATACGGCCGACGGGGAATTGGAGGCCGGCTTTAACTGACTTGGACACCGACTTCTTCCTCTCTCCGCCTCTTCTTCCGCCGACGCCCTTGGTGGCTTTCGTGGCTTCCATTCTCTCTGAGTTTTTGGGGAAACGAAAACGATTCGTTTAGGAGGGAAAACGAATTGTTGAAAACTGAAATGCGCTCGGACTTGAATTTTGGTCTGGAGTGTTTTGGTGCGTGGTGTTTTATAGTGGGGTTTGCCACGTTGGCGATCCAAGTGCTTTTGGGCTGGCCAATTGGATTGGTTTCAAACAAGGGAACGGTTCTGATTTTTTTATGAAGATGAACGGCTGTGAGTTAATGACATGCTGGCAATCCAAGTCCATTTGTGGCAACTCGTTGGAGCACTGGATAATGCTTTTGGTTAAAGCGCTATTTACTCGTATTTTTTCCTTTCACATTGTCAATTTTTTATCATTAATATTTTTTAATTCTTTCGATTCGATAGTTGAAAATTGAAAAGTTTGAGAAGTAAAAATCGGTGGTTGTGGATAGCACCGGATGAGGATCCCATCCTGATCCAAATGGTGGGGATCCTCATATACTAACCGTTCATCGTATATCGTACGGTCAAAAATCATTAGAATTAAAAGTAAACATAAATAGTAACTGATGAAAACTGACCGCACGATATACGATAAATGGTTAAGATGTGAGGATCCCTAGAATCCCCACCATTTAGATCCAAATGGGATCCTCATCCAATAGCACCAACCTTTCTCGGAAGGTCAAAAAGGAAATACTTTTGTCCACCACCCTATTTATTCAGTGACAGTGATGTTTAGCACCCTATGTATCATCGTTAGATAAATTTAAATGGGTAAATATCAGTTTACTACCCTCAAGTTTCATGGTTTTCAACATTTAATACATGAAGTTTTTTTCGTTCCAGAGTCATTCATAAAGTGTTAATTTTGGGACAATCTCATGCATCTGTTAAGTTTTCCGTTAGAACTTATGTTAACTGATGACGTGACACCCATGTGGACAATTACTGGATGCCACGTGTCAATATGGGCCCACTTTAAAAATAAAAAATAAAAACCACATCATCTTCTACCTCCCCCTAACCCGTCTCTTCCTTCTTTCCTCTACAACCCCCACCCTTTCTTCTCTCCTCTACAACCCCCACCCACCATCCCTCCCTTCACTCATCTGCAACCCACACCACCCACCCTCTCTCATCTCCTCTGCAACCCGCACCACCCACCTCACACCAATGGTCCCACCCACCTACCAAATCAAAATCATAGCATCAATGGAACCTTAACCCTAACCCCCCAAAATTATCATCACCCTTATCTTTCCTTCTCTCCCTCTTTTCCTCTTTTCTTCTCCCTCTTAGAGCAAGTCCACCGGAGGACTTTTTGCCCAGCACCCAGCTGAAAAAATAGACCAAGACCCAGTGAATCCCCTCCAACCGACCCAATTGACTGACACCCAGCCCAAGCCAGTCTCTAGCCCAGCCCATTTTTGACTGACCAAGGTACTGGCTTGTTTGCTTTTTTGCACTGGCGCGTGGCCTTCACGCTCGCGTGGGCGCAAGTAGGAGACAAGAAATCAGGCGGCGGGGCCCGCGCGCAGGCGCACTCATACCACAACCCGGGCTCGGCGATGTGGCCCACTTGCAGCCATTGGATTTCCAATGGCTAGTTATTATAGATCGTTGGATTGTCAACGGTAAAAAAAAAATTGAATTTCACTTTTAAAAAATACATAAACTTTTTAATAAATTTAGATATTATTATTATTATTATTATTTTTTTATAAATTCAGAAATAAAAAATAAAATTATTATTTTTTAATAAAATGGACTAGGCTATTTTTTGTTAGGGGTGGAGATGCTTTGGCCTATTACTGTTCACTGGAGTCTATTACTGTTCACTTGAGTGGATAAATGTGTTGGGTGCTGGCACAAAGTCCTTAGGGGTGGAATTGCTCTTAGAGTCGGAGCAGCAAAAAACCCACGCACCCTTAAATCATCATTTTCCAATTTCAATTCTCACTCTAAAAAAAAAAAAAGGAAGAGAAAAGTGGGATTCTCTCTCCCTCTCCATTCTAGGGTTTCCGCTTCCGCCATTGCCACGCACGTTCACGCATTCTTTCCGCCACTGCGACCATTGCTTGCTCCGAGCTTGCCAGAACTTTTGATTGCTGCCAATTGGGATTCTCCGATTCGGTGTCGTTTTTGGTAATTACGAGGTGTTTTGTTCGAACTCGAAGGAAGGCTTCTTGTACGGACTATGGTGTAGGTGAGGTTCATCTGTTGCTTGATTTTTTATTTCAATTGTTTGAAGTGGTCGATTAAGCACTTATGCGAATTGCTCTTTAGGTGGTAGGGTTTTAGGTTGTGGTTTGCACTTTGATTAATTCAATTTTTTTTAGTTTTGTTTTGCTAAATTTGTGTCTGAACAAAATTATCATCACCCTCCTCACTATCTTTGTCGATCAAATCAGAAGCATCCTCGAGCTTTCCATCCAAATCAAAATCAGAACCAAAATCTTGGTCTGTGTATCTCATTCTTTCCACCAATTCCCCAATCAAAATTTTGGTGCGAGGTGGTTGGTGCGGGTTGCAGAGGGGACAAGGGAGGGAGGGTGGGTGGGGGTTGCAGAGGAGAGAAGAGAGGGTGGGGTTGTAGAGGAAAGAAGGAAGGGACGGGTAGGGGGGAGGTAGAAGATGATGTGGTAACGGATTGTTTCCTGGAGGGCAATTCAATTGGTTTGGGGCGAGCAGGAATAGGTTCGGCCGGTACAATTGGTAACGGATTGTTTCCTGGAGGGCAATGCTGGAGAAGATCGGAAGGCCTGCTGCCACCGACTTTACTAAACAACATTTCGAGCAACCTGTTCTGTCGCTCAGCAGAACTGACTATCGCATCATGCAGTTTGTCGATACCTCGACTAAATGTCTGCTCGACTGACCGAGACTGCTCGTCTAGTCGCTTTCGTAGAAACGACCTCGTTGGTGGGTCAGATCCTTCACCACCATCCTCGTCGCAATCCTCTATTATCCCTTCATTGAGAACGCACGTGTTTCTGTTAGGGATCTCTAAACCACGGGGCTGACCGCCGAGATTAACTTCTCTCTCTCGGCGAGTCGCGCTCGTGGACTCAGGTGTCGCAGCGCTAAGGAGGTTCTGCGCTTGTGGCACACTCTGTCCTATGCTCTGACTCGGCAAATCGGCTGTCGACTTTCCCATAGCTGTTTTCTTTTTTACCGATCGTGTTTCAATTGGCATGAACTTCGTAGTTTAGCACTGGGTCCCACCGGGCGTGCCAAAATGTTGACCCTAGAAACTACAGAGCCTACGTGGCGCGCAGGCCGAGTATTTTCTAAGCTAACTACGTCCTTCGGTGATTGCGGGGCGTGCCAACTCGTCGGCCGAGCTCGGCCGAGGAGTAAATTTGTTGATGTTGCGTTGAGCGCGCTGATGACTTCTGTGTCTTGCGATTGCGGCCGAGGAAGGAACAATTCTCGGCCTCTTGGGTTCTGGAGCCTGAAGACAAGGCTGCTAAAATGCGAAGTTCACGAACCGAATTCGGCTTTCAACGTGCCGAATACAATAACCTGGTAACACCTTACTTCGCCGAGAAGGCTGATGAGATGACCTCGACCAATAAGAATTCGGAAATCCTTCTCGACCGAGACTTGGATAGGTAACCAGTCGTCCTCCTCGCCGTAGTGCTGTTGATGCCAACGGAAGATGCTGCGAGATCGGCTGATTCTACGGTGACAGAGCTATCTATGCCGACTTAAGATATCACCGGTTGCTTTCACAGTGCTGTTGATGCCAACGGAAGATGTGTCAGCGAAAAAGAAAAAGAAAAATCACAAGTTGTGAGAGTTTGCGCAGGGCAATTTTGTATTGATTTTGTAGGGGCTTTTCCTGATGCACAGCGTCCCCTATTTATAGTACTGAACCTTGAGTCCGAGTTTACATCCTACTCGGACTAGGTTTCCATCTCCGGATCACCTCGACCAATCCTACACCTACTAGGACTATGAACCTAGTCCTTAGCTAAGCTGGATTAGTTTCCTGGATATCCGATCCCGTCGAGACTCCCCATTGCACTAGGATTCGTCCTAACCGCCCTAGGTTTGGACTCCCACGGGTTGACCGATCCATGGTCCTTTTGCCGCCTGGCCTCCTGGGCCGAGAGTGATCCTACCCTCGGCCCAAACTATTATTTTGGGCCCAAACATTGCCCCCTCGCTTCTGAGGTCCTCGGCCTGAAACCTTCGGCCGAGTTTCGGCCTTGAAGAAGCGAATCTACCACTCAGGATCCTAATACCCGAGTTCCAAGGCGCATTTATTGAGCACGATCGCACGATCTTGAACCTGCTAACCCACTCGCTACGTGGCGTCTTCTAACATGGCCAATCCCCCGTAATGACGTCTAAGGCATGCGGCAGCCTGAACCGTCTTGCCATCATGACCACTATCTCAATCCGCGAGCCACTACCTCAGTCCGTGAGCTCACTTGTCATCGTGCGGGCGTCGAATCGTCTTTCGTCATTAATTTCGCCGTCACACGCAATCCTGCGCCCCCAAAACCCTGACCTTCGGTCTTCTCAACCGCATTTCCCAAATGTTCATCATGATCAACAATTCCTTCGGTCGATTTTGCCCTTTGTTTTGAATTTCGAACGATTGCTCTTCCCCCTATAACTCTATAAATACCGAGATTCCCTCATTTGTACCTTTACGCTCTCAAACCTCCTGAAATCCTCTGCCGTTGATTTCTAGTGCATTTCCCCTATTCCAAGTCTTCGTCTTTAAGTCCCCAACCCAGACAACCCTTTTACTCCGTGCTTCTTTCTCACAATGGCGTCCTTCATCTCCAAGCTTTCCAGGGAATGTGACCAACATCAGAAGATTTTTTATCGGAGCTCGATCAAGACCATCCGGTTTGAAAACGACATGAGCACCCAGTACCAAATCCTGGGTCCTCTCTTCAAGGCTACAATACCGCCGACTATCATCGGCCTTCTACAGGAGCACTGCCTAACACCCTTGCTTCAAGGGTTTGAATGGTCGCGATGGGATGCGGCTAAACCCCAGGGCTCCTGGCCCTCGACGACCACATCCTGGGCAGCCTGGGTCGTTCGAATGGAACGACTCTTCGGCGAGCAATGGAAGGCCCTTGGCATCTACGACGCCATCCTC